AAGGGGAAAAGGGGTATAAAGATGATTTTATGTATGAAATACACAAAACTTCAAAAAACTTAATTAAAAAAAAATTAGTCTGGAAGAATCGAGTTTTTGCATACTAACATGTTTCACAGGGTGTTCTGAATTCTCTGTTTTGTTTTGGAAAAGGGTCTCATGTAGTCCAGGCTGACCTCAAATTTGCTATAAACAAGGAATGACTTTGAACTCCTGTTCTTCCTGCCTCTAACTCTCAAATTCTGGGATTACAGGAGTATGCCATCACACCAGTTTTTCTTTCTTAACGTGGTGCTAGAAAATGAGCCTTATAGGTCACACACGCTAACCAGGCATTCCACCAACTCAGGAACATCTCCTTGAACTGTATCTATTATCAAATGAATATCTACACATAGGAAATTCATGTATGCAGAATTCTTTCTTCCCATTAAAACATGACTTGTTTCATTGTAACTTGATGGGATAGCCTACTGGGAATGGCTGCTGACAGAATCACTGAAGACTGTCTATGAAAACCATGGGCTGGGAGCACAGCTCAGTGATGAAGTACCTGCCTAGCATGCATGAGGCCCTCAGTTCAATCTCTAGCACCACAAAAAATAAAAATAACTACAAAAATCGCTGGCTTTGCAGGGCATGGTGACACACACCTTTAATCCCAGCATTCGGAAGACCGAGGCAGGTGGATATCTGTGAGTTCAAGGCCAGCCTGGTGTCCATAGTGAATCCAGGCCAGCTGTGACTACAGGGAGACGCTGTCTTAAAAAAAAAAAAAAAAAAAAAAAAAAAAAAATCGCTGGCTTCATTTTAGAAGGTAAAAAAGTAAAACCCTGAACTTTATCAAACTGCTCTGAAATTTATGCTTTCATGCCACGCAGGGTGGGACCTGTCTACAATCTGAGCACACAGAAAGTAGAGGAACCACAATTACAAATTTTAGGCTTGAGTAAGATACACAGACCCTGAAGAACAAAAAATAAACACATACATTTATACTTCCTCATTCATAAAAATCTCTCTATGCAATGGGTCTATGATGAGGCAGTTTTTAATGGTTTTTTTTTTTTTTTTTTTTTTTTTTTTTTTGTCTTTTTGAGATAGGGTCTCCCTGTAGCCCCAGCTGTCCTGGAACTCACTATGTAGACCAGGCTGGCCTCGAACTCACAAAAGATCCACCTGCCTCTGCCTCCCAAGTGCTGGGACTAAAGGCGTGCACCACCATGCCCAGCTTTTTAATGTACTGTATTTTTATGTGTATATGTGTGAACCTGCATGAGCTAATGCAGGAGCCTATAGAGATCAGAAAATGCTGGATTCCCTGGAACTGGGGTTACCAGTGGGGTTACTGTGGCCACCAGGTGGCCATGTGGGTGCTGAGAAGGGAACCAGAGTCCTCTGCAAAAGCAGCAAGTACTCTTAACCATTAAGCCATCTCTCCAGCCCTGAGGAGATGGGGGGTTGTGTTTATTTGTTTCTACTGGGAGTGGGCATTAACTCAGGGCCATAAGAAGGAGGCAAGCATTCTACCACTGAACTATAACTCCAGCACTGGGTCTATTAATAGTTTACATTTTGTCTGTTGGTTTGGTTTATTTTTAAAGAAAACCTAAAGCTGGGAACTTAGCTCAATGGTACAGTGCCTGGTTAGCAAGCACAAGGCCCTGGGTTCAGTCCTCAGCACCGAAAAAATTTATAAAAGAAAGTAAAGAGTCAAGCTTGGTAGTGCACACCTTGAATCCCAGTGCTTGGGAGGCAGAGACAAGAGGATCTCTATGAGGTCAAGGCCAGCCTGGTCTACATAGTTAAGTTCCAGGCCAGCTCAAAAAACAAAACAAAAAAGAAAAAAGAAAAACAACACAGAAAAAACGTCTATGCACATTGACTCAAGTGCTGCTGTTACCCATGCAACCTGCACTAGGTAAATTAAGAAACTCTCATTGGGAAAAAATGTTAAATGCTAAGCAGTATTATTCAAAGTGTGTGTCTGATACTTAATATTGAGAACTGATATTCACTCCTGGTTTCTGGTTTTGTTTCAATTACAAAATAAAAGGCCTAACAGTGGCCCCTCTTTCTGTCAGGTATACTCACATTTTCAACCAACAGCCTATACTTTTTCTCTTTTCTTGTCTTTACTTCATTTTGAATACATCTGCTGAAACGTAATTTCATGTCTGTTGAATATTTAAAAATTGAGCTTGTATTTTATATAGACTCGCAATTTACTTTTTTTAAAAAATAAAGATTTTATTTATTACTTTTCCTTTTTATGTATATGAGTATATTGCCTGAATGTATGTAAGTGCACCCATGTCATGAAATGCCTGAGGATGTCAGAAGCAGGCATAGGATCCCCTGAAACTGGAGTTAAGAATGGCTATCAACTGCCATGTGGGTACTGGGAACGAAACCCAGGTCCTCTGCAAAAGCAGTCAGTGCTCTTTAACTGCTGAGCCATCTCTCAAGTCCCTCAATTTATTTCCTAGTAATTCCTTTTTATTATGTTTTACAAAAGTTATGGTGTGCAACAGATTGAAAATTTTAAGTCATAGACAAGAATCTGCTCTAAGTTTAAATTTATTGATATGAGAAATGTTGTAAAAGAATGCCTTCAAACTCAGCCTCAAACCAGGCTGGCCTTAAACTTACAGAGATCCACCTGCCTCTGCTTCCTGCGTGCTAGGATTAAAGGTGTGCACCTCCACACCCAGCTTGTGTGCACCTTTTTAAATAAGGGCATTTTTTTCCTTCTTTCTTTTTTTTCAGGGTCTCTCTGTAGCCCCATCTGGCCTTGAACTCACAGATTCACCTGCTTCTGCCTCCCAAGTGCTGGGACTTCTGTGGTGCGTCACCACACCTGACCTATTTTGAATCTTTAAAAATGTTTAAATTTCTTACTATTGTATGCATATGTGATATGTGTGTGTGTGTCTGTGCCAGAGTGTGTGTGTGTAGTTGGTTCCCTCCTTCCACCTTTATATGAGCTCCAATGGATTAAACTCAGGTCACAGAGCCTTTTGCCAGGCCTAAGAATGTATTTTTAAGAGACATGGGATAGGTATTCAAAAATAAAGTGTTACATCCATGTGTCATGGTTTATACTTGTAATACCAATAGCCAGGAGGCTGAGGCAGGAGGACTGCATGTTTGAAGCCAGCCTGGACCACACTGTGAGTTCTGGGCAAATGCAAAATATATAGGAGGATCCCGTCTCAGGAAAGAACAACTAAAGAAGTATTATAACATGTATGAGCAAATCTCAAATGGTTCAGACACAACAAAACAAAATACAAATATGCATAGTTAACAGCAGTGCTGACGAGATGATCAAAGGGCAGAGGTGCTTGCTGCCAAGCCTGACAACCTGAGTTCCATCCCTGAGTCCCCACCTCCATGTTGGAACGAGAGAACCAACTCCCACAAGCTATCTTCTGACCTTCACACTTGTGAAGTCACACAGGCATCTGCATATATAGTACCCCCCCACAGAGATAAATAAAAGACAAAATATTGAATAATGGTGAATCTGAATAAGAATTTTAAGTATGCAGGTGTTTACCCTAATACTATTCTGACAACATTTCTATAAACATGACATTTTGCAAAAGAAAATGCTTGAGGGAAAATTCTTTAAAATTAGTAAGTTCTGCTGGCAAGGAAACTCACGCATATAATCTCAGCACTCAGGAGGCAGAGGCAGGTGGATCTGTGAGCTCCAGGTCAGCCTGGTCTACACAGTGAGTTCCAGGCCAGCTGGAACTACAGGGAGACCCTGTCTCTCAAAGAAAAAAAAAAAGTATTTAATGTGTATTAGTGTTTTGCCTTAATGTACATGCATGCCTCAGAGCCAATTAAGGATGTGTGTTATCTGTCACATGAGTGCTGGGAACCAAATCCAGGTCCTCTGCAAGAGCAACCAGTGCTCTTAAGCACTGAGCCATCTCTCCAGCCTCAAATGGCCCCCAGTATCAGTGGATTTTATTCCACGGACTCAGTCATGTATCCGCAGAAAATATTCAGCAAAAAAAAAATGCATCTCTATAGAATGTTAACATATGTATTTTTGTCATTAGTACCTAAATGTCTATTTACATGGTGTTTATAGAAATCAAGCATTACTTTTTTTTTTTTTTTTTTTTCCGGTCTTTTTGAGACAGGGTCTCCCTGTAGCCCCAGCTGTCCTGGAACTCACTATGTAGACCAGACTGGCCTTGAACTCACAGAGATCCGCCTGCCTCTGCCTGGGATTAAAGGTGTGCGCCACCACGCCCGGCATGCATTACATTTTAGATATGACTTAATGTATACAAAAGGTTATGTCATTTTATATATGGGACTTAGTATCTGAGGACTTCAGCATCCTCAGGAGGTCCTAGAACCAATATCCCATGCATACTGAGAAAGACTGCAACTGCTGGAAAACAGGTATTGTTTCTAAGAATAGTCATTATAGAGGAAACTCTATTTTCAGACAGCATGCAGGCTTAATTTGTTACTGTCAAAGAAAATAAATGTGACAGCCTATAAAACTAGTTGGAATTCCACCTATTCTCATTCAGCTCTAAATCAGCTGCTGTTTTCACATGATGAGGGGAGTGAAAATTCCAGGCATATGGTTCTTACCTACAACAGTGAGGAGGCTAAACTGGTCAAGTGCCTCTAAAATACACCACTTTTATGAACTATAGTATATAAATTCATAAACCAGTTTAAACAATAACATTAAGTGACAAAACAAAACTGGAATTAAACTTCTCCTAGCATTTTCAATTCTTGCCTGATTAAGCTCACTAGGGCTCCTATTTCACAGCCATAGAACGTAATTAATGAACAATTTACCCAAAGCCACAAAGCATAGGAATAAGCATGGAAATACAAAAATCCTCAGGCTTGCTCAAACTATTAAGACGGGTAGAAATGAGGACAGACATCTAACATCATTTAAAAGATGCTACTTGAAAAAACACTAGTCCCAGAACTTGTAGAAATCTTCCTACCTCACTTCTTCACCAGCAAAATCAAACACCTTGGTAATTTTCACCTTCTCTGTTTCTTTAGGTTTTTCTAGCTCTTCTGCTTTGACTAGCAATTTACTTGAACTTGTCTCTTCAGTCTCCTCTGCTGCCTAAGAAAAAAGAAAGAAAATCAGGTCAGATGTGGTGGCACATGCTTTTAATCCTAGCACTTGGGAGGCAGAGGCAGGTGGATCCCTGTAAATTCAGTGTCACCTGGTCTACCTACTACACAGTGAGTTCTAGGCCATTCAGGGTTCACAGTGAGACTGTCTCAAAAAAAGAAAAAAAGGGGGGTGGAGAGAAGGCCGAGTGGTTAAGAGAACTGACTGCTCTTGCAGAGGACCCAGGTTCAATTCCCAGCACCCACATGGTGGCTACGAACCGTTCTTAACTCCAATTCCAGGGGAATCCAAAGCCCTCTTCTGATCTCCACGGCATTGCATGACACAGGTACACTCACATACATACAGGCAGTACACTCATACACATAAAATAAAAATAATGAAAAAAAGAAAAAGGAAAAAAAAAAGAAGAGGGGCTGGAGAGATGGTTCAAGGGTTAAGAGCACTGGGTGCTTTTGCAGAGGACCCAAATTTGATTACCAGCACCCACATGGTGGCTAATAACTCCAGTTCCAGGGGATCCAAAGCCCTGTTCTAACCTCCTTGGGCATTGCAGGACACAGGTGCACTTTTATACACATAGGCAATACACTCATACATATAAAATAAAAATAATAATAAAGTATTTTTAAAAAGAGGAGGAGGAAAGCCAGGTGTGGTAGTGCACGCCTTCAATCCCAACACTTGGGAAGTGGAGGCAGAGGCAGGCGGATCTTTGTGAGTTCAAGGCCAGCCTGGTCTACATAGTGAGTTCTAGGACAGCTGGGGCTACAGGGAGACCCTGTCTCAAAAAGACAAAAAAAAAAAAAAAAAAAAAAAAAAGAAGAGAAAGAGTCGGGGGGGGATGAGGAAGAGGAGGAGGAAGGGGAAAAGAAATGAAATCAGTTTTACCAAGTATAAGCCTAAAGGAGCCGTCAGAACTGCTGCTCATAGTTGTTCTTTCATGTTTCATCCTTAATCAGTTAAAAACCTACTGCAGGGTCTGGAGTGACAGCGCTGCAGTTAAGAGCACTTGCTGGTCTTGCAGAGGACCTAGTTTTTGGTTCCCTGTACCCATGACATGGGGTGGTTCATGACCACTTGTAACTCCAGCTCCAGGAGGATCTCATGGCTCTGGCCTCATACGGCACCTGCACTCACATGAACATACCCACACACAGACACACATATACTTAAAAATAAATCTTAAACAAATTAAAGATCTACTGAAAATTTATTTGATTAGAGGCTCATTTTCCTACCCAAGGAATACTTTACTTTTCAGTCAGTAAAGTCAACTATCAAAAGGCACCTAATTTCCTCTTTGCTTTGAGATTCAAATCTGAGTTTGTAAATTTAAAATAGAAAGCTACCTGAGGAACTATGGGTACTTCTGGAAAGTTACCACATCAATCTGTAGTTACCTTAACCGGTGCACTTGGGGCCACTTTCGACTTCGGCCCCACATCATTAAGGAAGCTGGCCCACAATTCGTCCTCCTTCTTCTTCCGTGAGGTCTCTGACCCAAGGCTTCTTTCTTGCTCTTCACCTTCCTCACTACTTCCTCCAGATTCTTCCTTGCCATCCTCCTCTTCGTCTTCCAACAAGAGGCCACTTTGTTTTCTCTTCCTAATCAACAGTCACCCAGAAAGGGAAAGACAGAGAACGCAAATGATTTACTACCCTTCATCCCCAAATGATCCTGTACACAAGCAAAGTGTAGATCTGGGACTGCAGTTATTTGAACTAAAATTCAGTATTCTACGTCAAAACTAGTTATTTTCACTAAGAAAACAGCCAAGATCACCTCACAGAATTAGTTTGTTCAGAAAACAGGTTCTAAAGACCTATGTGCTAAATATTATTTAAAACAAAAAAATTTTAATGTGTGGTGGCACATGCCTTTAATCTCAACACTCGAGGCAGAGGCAGGCGGGTCTCTGCAAGTTCGATGCCAGCCTGGTCTACACAGTGGGAAACCCTATCTCAAAAAAAAAAGGACCAATGTCAGGCGTGGTGGCACACGCCTTTAATCCCAGCACTGGGGAGGCAGAGGCAGGCAGATCTTTGTGAGTTCGAGGCCAGCCTGGTCTACAGAGTGAGTTCCAGGACAAGTTGTTTTTTTAAGGGAGAAAGGACTTATTCTGGTTACAGGCCATCATAGTGGGTAAATCAAGGATCAGGAGTTTGAAGCAGCTGGTCACATCATGTCTACAGTCAATAAATGCATGCATGCTAGTCTATTTTTACTTTTATCACATGTAAGGGGGGGGGCATGTACAGGTGCCTTGGTGGGGGGGGGGTCAGATCCCCAGGAGCTAGAGTTACAGGAAGGTGTGAGTTGTCTAATGTGATTGGTGGGAATTGAATGTGGATCCTCTGAAAGAGCAACCGCTCTTAACCACTGAGCCATCACTCCAGTCCTATTTTTAAAAATATTTTGTTTTAATTGTATGTGCATGAATGTTTTGTCTACACGAATGTAAATGTACCACATATGTGATGTGCCCTCAGAGGTCAGAAGAGAGCACTGGATTCCCTGGCAGTGGAGTTACAGATGGTTGTAAGCCACCATGTGGGTGCTGGGTACTGAACTGGATTCTCTGGAAGAGCAGCCAAGTGCTCTTAACCCTGGAACCATCTATCTCCTAAGCCCTCCAGCCCTATTTTTTTAAAAAAACTTACTTATATGAGTGTTCTTCCTGCATGTATATAAGTGCACCCATGTCATGCAATGCCCACAAAACCAAAGAGGGCATCAGATTCGATAGAACTAGATTTAGGGATGGCTGTAGCTGCCATGTAGGTGGTGGGAACTGAGCCCAGGTGTTCTCCAAGAGTAGTCAGTACTCAACCCCAGAGCCATCTCTCCAGCCCTATGTACTTTTAAAAGCCACTGCATTTGGAGAACAAATTCTAAGTCTCAAATTTACTTGCATTTTTTCTTCCAAAAGTTCTTAGGGAAAAAAATATTTTCAACGTTTCATTCTACCTTCGAAAGAAACAAAAGCTCAAATACAGAAAAACTAATGGAAAAGTTTGTAATCCAAAACTTACAGATATATTGCTTTTATACTATATAACTTTAAGTAAATTAGATAATACCTAAAGGTTCACTTTCACCTTTTCATAAACTGTACCTGCTTTTTGCTTCAATGCCCAAGAACAGAAGCAGCAATGACAGAAAAGGTTTCTACAGAAGATGCTCTTATTTGAGTTACTCTATCGTGATTTTCCTAATTTTTGGTGGGATTGTAATTCAGTATGAGGCCTATAAAAGGAAATTTAAAAGTTTAACTAAAAAAATGAACTTTACTTAGATCAAACAATTCTATAAATCTGACTTGCAAAAATACTTGTACATACATATAAAAAGATATGTCCAAATAGCATTTTCTGTAGTCTCATTTGCTGCAGCAAAATCGGGTACAATCTAACTGTTCCTCACTAAGGGAATGCCTGAATAAAGCAAGGCTATTCGTATAATGTGATACTGTACAGTTATTGAAAAGAATGAGGTCTGTCTAAACATACTACATGGTGCCATTTCTAAGCTATGAAATAAGTGAGAGCCACCAGAGTGGTGCGGGCCTGCCATCCCAGCTACTTCTTGCGAGGCTGAGAGGAGAGGCTCCAGAGTTGGCACCCAGTACAGGTGACACAGGAAGACACTGAGAGCAAGCATGCGTGTGGGAGTGGGGGGAATATGCACAGTGCTCTTCCACTTGTTTTCTTCTTTCAAACAGAGTAGGAAATACACACAGTTGCATATACACAGAATACCTAGAGGAACGATTCCTCTGGGTCAGAGCTTTAGAGTGAGGAGCAAGGAACACATTTTGTAGTATGGGGTTTTAACAACATGCCCATTTTACCTAGGTATTTTTTACATTAAGGGTTAATTTTCTGTTGTTTTGTTTTGTTTTTTTCAGACAGGCTCTTACTATATAGCTCTGCCTCACCTGGAACTCCCTATGTAGGCCAGACTGGCCTCGAACTCACAGAGAGCCACTTGCCTCTGCATCCCGAGTGCTAAGATAGAAGAGATCACACCTGGCAAGGCCTAGTATTTTTTGTTTTTTTGTCTTTTTGAGACAGGGTCTCCCTGTAGCCCCAGCTGTCCTGGAACTCACTATGTAGACCAGGCTGGCCTCGAACTCACAAAGATCCGCCTGCCGCTGCCTCCCAAGTGCTGGGATTAAAAGCATGCACCACTACACCCGACAGGGCCTAGTATTTTTTAAAACTTGCCAGAGACCAAGAATTTAATTCTAAAGTACCATCGAATGCTTCCCTCAAACAGAAAGGAGTTAGAAATTCTGGCAATAAAGCTAGATGCAGAGGCTCAGGCCTATAATCCCTGCAACTCAGAAGGCAGATGCAGGACAGCCTGGGCTATGAAATTAATTCCAGGCCAGCCTGGGTTAGAGGGAAACATTGTCTCAAACACAATGCAACACAACAAAACAGAAACCTTGGCAATAAAAAATTTATCATAAGAGCGAGCAAGATGGTTCAGTGGGTAAAGGTGCTTGCCACCAAGCCTGATGAACATCCCCAGGATCCACATGGAAGGAGAGATGGCGAAGCTGTCTTCTGACCTCCATGTGCACGCTGTGGCATGCATGAGGCCACCCCTTACCCCAGCCACTAAATAAATAAATGTTAAAAAAAAAAAGAAAGAAATCTTGAGAGCAAACTTGGCAACAGGGCCAGCTCTGACTCTGAGGGCCTTGAGGGCAGCATCACCTGGCGGGAATGCTCTGGGCCTTCCTCTTTTTCCCTTTGGTTTTCTGTGTCTCCTCTTCATCTACTTCATCTTCCTTCACCAATTCATTGACGTCATCTTCACTATATTCTCCACCTGTAATCACACAGGTGGTCAGATAGAGGGGAAAAGGATTCTTCATGAAACATTGAGGCAGAAGTCAGACACCATGTGGTGGTGCTCGCTGGTATCTCAGCAGTTGGGAGGTAGAGGCAGGGGTAACCATTCTGGGGTACATAGTGAGTTTGAGGCCAGCCTGGGTTGCACAAGACTGTCTCAAAAAACTAAAACAGGCTGAAGAGATAGCTCAGTGGTTAAGAGTACTGGCTGCTCTTGCACAGGACCTGGGTTCGCTTCCCAGAACCCGAATAGTGACTAGCAACCATCTTTAACTCTAGTTCCAGGGGATCAGACATGCTGCATGCACAGTTGCACTCACATACATGCAAGCAAAACATTCATGCACATAAGATAAAAATAAATTTTAAAAAACTACAACAGCAGCAACAATCAAAACAAAAACTGTGACCTTTTTTTAAGATGCATATCTTATTTTTTTTTTTTTTTTTCTTAGTCTTTCTGACAGGATCTCCCTGTAGCCCCACCTGGCCTAGAACTCACTATGTAGACTAGGTTGGCCTTGAACTCACAGCGATCCACCTGACCCGCCTCATGAGTGCTGGGATTAAAGGGGTGCACCACCACGCCCCACCAGATACATATATTCTAATTTTGTCTACTGAATAGCAGAGAATCAATGCCACTAACCACAGCAGTGAGTATCATGGAAATGCTAATTGTATTCTTTGGTAAGATTTACAACAAAAAGGATTTCTTGAAGGGGTTAAAAAAAAAAAAGCTTAGTTTACTTCAGACAACTGAAAAAAAAAAAAAAAAAAAAGGCAAAACCAGGGCATCTCGCAGTGCCACAAAGTCAGGAAGTTATTTAAGAACGGGTCCTATTGCTGGGCATGGTAGTATATGCCTTTAAGGAGGACCTCTGTGAGACGGAGGCTAGTCTGGTCTATATATCAAGTTCTAGGCCACTGAGGGATACAGGAAGACTCAGTATGCACAAAGCCCTGGGTTCAATCCCTGGCATGGCACAGAAGAAAAAAAGACAAAATCTGTTATTACCTTTAAGATATTTTTAAAAGACGGAAAAAATAATTTGTAACATCCTAAACTACTACTAAAATTACTGTTCTGTAAAGGTGTGGTGGCAGATGTTTGAGTCAGGAAAACTGCAAGTAGCAGAGGTAGATGTAGTGGCACACCTTTCAATCTCAGCACTCCAGAGGAAGAAGCTGGTGGATCTCTGCGAGTTTGACATTAGCCTAGTCTACACAGCTGCCCCAGGTGAACCAATGCTACATAAAAAGACCCTGTCTCAAGAAACAACAACAACAAAAAAAAAAACCTACAAAAATTAAAGCTGCCAGGCGTGGTGGTATACACCTTTAATCCCAGAACTTGGGAGGCAGAGGCAGGTGGATCTTTGTGAGTTCGAGGCCAACCTGGTCTACATAGCTAGTTCCAGGAAAGCTGGGGCTCCAAGGAGACCCTGTCTCAAAAAGACAAAAATATAAATAAATAATAAAAGCAATTCTAAATTTTAAGCATTATAGATATTGCCACACTAAATACCACCAAGTTCCAAAGGAAAAAACACACAGCGGAGGGATTAGGCTGTCATCACGACTATGGGAGTTCAACTAGGTATCGTGTGCCTGATGTTATGTTATATGAGAAACACAAGTCTCCTATTGTGTATTCTGGCAAAAAAAAGTACTTCACTGGAAGCTATCAAGCTTCTAAATCTAACTTTCCAATTACAGAAAATTCAGAAACAAAGAAACAATCTAAATCACCAAAAGAGGAACCACTAGAAAAATCTAGAAGATGCTGAGAAACATCTGACCTGATCACCACATCAGTGTCACTGTAGAAAAAGTAATGTGTTAGGTTAAGACAGCCTGAAGCAAGGGGCAATGTAGCCTTTAAACAAGCTGTAGCCACCTGAGGGCTAATGAGGACAATTTGAACAAGGTGCATGTATTAGGTAAGGTGAAACTTACTAAAATCAATGGGGTTTGTTCACTGAAGGAACATACTTTGAAGTAAAAAGAAAATAATTTTATCAGACTGAGGGAAAAACTGGAAAATCTGTACTTGGTAGTAAACAAAGATTTACTCAGGGGTTGACAGTAATTATCTCTGGGTACCTGGAAGGCAATTACTCCGTTTTTATGTTTAATTATCTGCATCTTCTAATTTTCTACAAAGCTCATGCACTGTTTTTGTAGTAAGTTTCACATCAAAAATGGGTAAATGTTGCCGACAGTGCTAAAAAGATGTGGTTGGCTCTGGATTACAGACCTGTAAAACAGATGCTCAATCTTTGTTTTGTTTGGGTTTGGCTGGGTTGGGTGTTGAGGCAGGGTCTTGCTATGTATCCTAGGCTGGCCTCGAACTTGTGCCAATGCTCCTTCCTCAGTCTCCTGAGAGCTGGGATTATAGGGTGCACTGCCAAGTCCAGCAGGAAGCTAAACCTTTCTGTTAAGAGACAGGCAAACTAAGTTACAAACAAGGACAACAGAATCAAGGTCACATTCCATGCCCATAATCTTTTTTAAAGACAGTAAGAAAAGGAATTATATCCCTACAATGAAACACAGAGGAACAAATTTTGTCCAAAGACTCAGAGCTTCCAAGGCTGGCATGGTGACAACATCTGTAATGGCAGCACTTGAAGGTGGCGTTCAGGAGGCCAGCCTGGACTTAAAAAGGGGGGAGGGGGGCTGGAGAGATGGCTCAGCGGTTAAGAGCACTGACTGCTCTTACAGAGGACCCGGGTTCGATTCCCAGCGCCCACATGACAGCTATGAACCGTCCTTAACTCCAGTTCCAGGGGAATCCGAAGCCCTCTTCTGACCTCCGCGGCATTGCACAACACAGGTGCACTCACACGCAGGCAGCACATAAAATAAAAATAATAAAAAAAAAAAGGGGGGGGGGGGAGGAAAGGGAGCCCAGCATGGTGGCACTCACCTTTAATTCCAGCACTTGGGAGGCAGAGGCAGGCAGTTCTCTGAGATTGAGGCCAGCCTGTCTACATAGCCAGTTCAAGGCCAGCTGGGGCCACAGGGAAAAAAGTCTCAAAAAAAAAGGAGGGGGGGTCTTACTCTAGCAGGTAATTATTCTCTATTTTCTGAGGCTATTTGATACACAAAAACAATATAAGGAAATTACAACACAGACAGAGGCAGGTAGCTCCCTGAGTCTGAGGCCAGCCTGGTCTACATAGCACATGCCTCCTGCCTGGCTACAATGATTGATTTTTAACTTCTGAGCATTTTGTGTGTAAATTTTGTGAGTTTGCTTTTACAGATTTATTAAATTCTGTGCATGTGCGTGTGCATGGAAGTAGAGATGCCCACAGAGGCCAAAGGTGTTTGATCCACTGGAGCTAGAATTATAGGCAGTTGTGAGTTCCCCAATGTGGGTGCTGGGAACTGAACTCAGGTCCTCTGCAAGAGCAGTATGTGTTCCAACAGATCAGCCACCCCTCCAGGCCCTGGAGGTCTCTTTGAGACAGGATCTCATGTGGCTTCAGGGGTCTATACTCAACACAGCTGGTCTTATGCTCCAGTCTGTACCACCCAGGTGCTGGGATTACAGGTATGTGCTATCATGCCCCAGGTTAAACAGCATTTTTTTCCTTCTTCAAAATGCTATCTTCTCAAAGAAATCTTCAATGGATCTTACCAGATTCAAACTGGCATATAAGACTTTCTTTCTAGCACTTGGGAGGCAGAGGCAGGTGGATCTCTGTGAGTTCAAGGCCAGCCTAGTCTACATAGCCAGTTCCAGGCCAGCTGGGGCTACAGGGAGACTCTGTCTCAAAAAGACAAAAAACAGACTTTCTGTAGCTTAGGTTTCCTCTCCAGTGCGCCCTTTCAGCATCACTTTGCCACTGCTCTTCATCTCCTTCCAGGATGGAGTGGTATTTGGGGAACACAGTCCCTTATGAACTCTGCGTGACTCCTCTGGGGTCATTTTTAGCAAATGTTCTTTCTCTACACCTTGTTCTTCATGTTGCTATGGGGGTGGCTGGCTTTAAGCTGCCAGTTTCCCAAGCTCACAGGCAAACAGTGTGTGTATGGAGCAGAAAGGAAACCGTGGAGGAGCTCTCCAGAGTACATGCCTTTAACTTCACCAAGGCATCTGTGAGGAATGATGTAGGGAGACTGTCTAGGTTCACATCCTAGCTGGGCTACTGTCTAACTAAAGTTGCTTAGGCTCTCTGAGCCTTGGTTTTTCTATCTGTAAAATGGACAGCACAAAAGCAAAAACCTGTTAGTGGTAAATTAATGTTAAAGAACTTGGAAGGCACCACACACCTTTAATTCCAGCACTTGGGAGGCAGAGGCAGGTGGATCTCTGTGAGTTCAAGGCCAGCCTAGTATACATAGCCAGTTCCAGGCCAGCTGGGGTTACAGGGAGACCCAGTCTCAAAAAAAACCAAAAACAAACAAAAAACCCAACAACAACAGAAAGAATGAGGGCAAGGCTAGGATAAAGAATGTCACTTCTTGATTCCTACTCAACACCACAGAGGACACCATGTCAAGCAAAAGAAATATGAAAGAATCGGGGGAAAAAAGCTTTTATTCAGATTTAGCATGTCTATGTACGTGAAAAATCCCAAGGAATCTACAAAACCCTCCAGAACTGATAAATGGGTTTAACAAATTTAAAGACTGCAAGGTTAGCATGCCAAAACCCAATTGTACTGTATTCTCTTGCTTGGACAATAAGCAACTGGGAATCAAAACTTACAAGACCTAAACAGAGATGTCACTGCTCACAGACTGGGAGAGACTGTTACATTACCAAGTCTCCCCAAACTGACCTACAGATTCAATGCAATTCCAAACAAAATCCAAGTGCTCTACTTGTGGAGAGATTGAGTTGCGCATGAGCTAAACAAGGGCGGGGGGGAATGAACAGAACAGGAAGATGAAAATGGGAAGTCTCCTCATAAAACAGGGGAAAAGTTAAAGGTATAGGGAAAAAGAGGACAGTAACTACAGGAAGAGTTCTAACAAGGGGCTGGAGAGACGGCTCACTGACTGCTCTGACAGAGGACCCAGGTTCAATTCCCAGCACCCATAGGGCGGATAACCGTCTGTAACTCCAGTTCCAGGGGCTCCAACACCCTCTTCTGATCTCCAAGAACACTGCATGACACATGTGCACTCACATACATGCAGGCAATATACTCATACATATAAAACAAAAATAATAAATAAAAATTTAAAAAGAACAATGGGGTTGGAGAGATGGCTCAGCAGTTAAGAACACTGACCTTGCAGAAGACCCGGGTTCGAATCCCAGCACCCACATGGCAGCTAACAACTGTCCACAACTCCAGTTCCAGGTGATCCGACAGCCTCTTCTGTCCTCCTTGGGCACTGCACAACACAGGTGCACTTACCTACACGCAAGCATAACATTCATGCCACTCATGCAAAAAGAAGATTCTATCAGCCTCCAAGGCAGACAGAGCCTATACAATGAACAGAAAAGGAAACTCTCTTTTCTGTGCAGTGCCGGGGTCAAGCCAGGGCACTGCACATGGTGGACAAACACTCTATCCCGGGGCTGCATCTCCAGCCCACAAAACAACCTTAACAGCAACACTGGAATCTAGAAAGTGAAGCAACACTTTCAAAATGCTGGTTATTTCCAACCTAGAATTCTGTTATCAACCGACCAATCAAGAAAGCCTGAGGTAAAGTTTAGACATCCTGATCTCAAAAAAAAAAAAAAGTTTCTGCCACATACCTTTCCTCAAGAAGTTACTAAATGATTCCTGTTCATTTTGGTGGTACACATCAAAAAAGAATACCACACAGACCTAGAAGAGGGAACCAGAGCAGGACAAGGGGGCAACCCACTCATCAGCGCACAGGCAGCTAGATGCAGGAGGGTCAAGGGTACAAGGTTATACCAACTATGTATAGAACTGAAGGGCAGCTGGGATACAGAGGACACACACATACACACACACACAGAGAGAGAGAGAGAGAGAGAGAGAGAGAGAAAATTTAATACAGAAAGGAAATACAGGGGACACCAGAGTGATGATGGTGGTGAAAGACTTAAAACCCCAACAGGCACAGAGAACCTCCACCCTAAACTGAAGCAAGTTCGAGGCAGAGATGAACTTCCAAAAGATGGACCTGTTGGGAGATGATCTAGGCAATTCTATTTCAGAGTTCGATTAGTGACAAGAATTTGAGCAGTTAAGTTTAAAAAAAGAAAAACGTGGCAGGGTGTGGTGGTACGCCTTTGATCCTAAGCACTCAGGAGGCAGAGGCAACTGATCTCTGTGAGTAGGAGGCCAGCCTGGTCTACATAGTGAGTTCCAGGCGAGCTGCAGCTACAGGAAATCCCTGTCTCAAAAAGACAAAAACAAAACAAAAACAAACAAACAGAAACAAACAGAAAAAAAAAAAAAATGGTCAGCAAGATGGCTCGAGGGTAAAGGCAGCTGCCATCAAGCCTGAAAAGAGCAGGACCAGAACCTGGATGGTGGAAGAGACCTGATTATTACAAGCTGTTATCTGACCTGCACATGTGCACCATGGCAGCACGGGCTCACACATAGACTCACAAAGTAAATGAATGTTAAACCATCCCCCACACACACACACCAATTTTCAACTTCAGAGAAAGGTATAGTACAGTGAAAGCAATCACAGCATACCACACGGTTCAGCTGTGAACAGGGTATCCATACAGCTAGGAAAAAGGTAACAGTGAACACTTACCTAATCCAAACATAGGTACAATGTCAGACTGGGGAGTTGGAAGGTCTTCAGGTTAAAGAGTGTGTGTTGGAGGCACAAGAATGAAATCAGGGGGTATTAAAAAAAAAGAGAGAGATGTACTATGTGTGAGTTAAATCAAAAGAAACTAACAAGACCAATCTGAAAAAGTAAACAACTGTTTCCTCAACTAGACTACGTTTGACTGTGTGTTTGCATAACTTCTATTAAAATGAAAACTGGTTTTCAAATATGATTACTCTTATTGGCATAAAAACAGTATCAGGGGAGGGTGGGGTGTAGTTCAGTGGACAGTGCTTGCCCTAGCACATTCTAGGCCCTGGGTTTCCTTCCTCAGCCCCAGGGAGTTTGGGGAGTGGAGGTCAGTGTGGAAGGATAAAATACTGGTAGACATAATGGAACCAGAGAAATCAGATAGAAAATTATGGAGACTCCTAGCAGAGGACAGTGGTAGTTCAGAGTGAGATAACAGTGGGGAAACTAGTCAGAGTAATGTTCCAGACACAAGACATTTTTTTCACGTTTGTTTTTTTAAGTTGCTTTTTTTCAAGGGGTGGGGTGTGCTGGAGAGATGGCTCAGCAGTTAAGAGGGCTTGCTACTTTTACAAAAGATCTGGAGTTCCATTCCCAACACCCACAATAACCACCTGTTAACTCCAGCACTGAGGAGGAAGGAGCTCTGACGTTGGTCCTCTTCTGGGCTCCTGGGGCATCCACGCACATGCACATACATCAGTAGTAAAAATAAATCTTGGAAAATGTTTTAAATGCATGCCCCCATCCCTCATGGCACTTATGGGGACTAGAGGCGCACCTCGGGTACCATTTTAAGAAAGCTGTCCGCCTCCTTTGAGGCAGGTCTCTCATAGGCCTGCAGCCAATTAGGCTAGACTGGCTTGCCATAGGGATGCTCCTGCAGGGCCTCCCCAGCGCTGGTACTATACAAGCTTTTAGCCTTCCCTCCAGGCACTTTTACCAGGATTCTGGGATTTAACTCAGGCCAGCATTTCATAAACTCCAACTACAACTTTTCCCCCTAAGACAGTCTTACTATGTGAACTAAGCTGGCCTGGAATTCACAATCCAGACCAGGCTATGCTCAAACTTGTAACGATCCTCCTGCTTCAGTTTCCCTGGTTTTGGATTAGACGCCTGCAACACCACACCTGGCACAAAATAACTTTTTGGTTTGTTTTTTCCTTTTTTTTTTTTTTTTTTTGAGACAGGGTCCCCTTGGAGCCCCAGCTGTCCTGGAACTCACTATGTAGCCTAGGCTGGCCTTGAACTCACAGAGATCCGCCTGCCCCTGCCTCCCGAGTGCTGGGAGTAAAAGGGGGGGGGTGTCACCCCACAAGGGTCCTTTTGTTTTTTGAGACAGGGTCCCCTTGGAGCCCCAGCTGTCCTGGAACTCACTATGTAGCCTAGGCTGGCCTTGAACTCACAGAGATCCGCCTGCCCCTGCCTCCCGAGTGCTGGGAGTAAAAGGGGGGGGGTGTCACCCCACAAGGGTCCTTTTGTTTTTTGAGACAGGGTCCCCTTGGAGCCCCAGCTGTCCTGGAACTCACTATGTAGCCTAGGCTGGCCTTGAACTCACAGAGATCCGCCTGCCCCTGCCTCCCGAGTGCTGGGAGTAAAAGGGGGGGGGTGTCACCACACCAGGCTCCTTTTGTTTTTTGAGACAGGGTCTCCCTGTAGCCAGCTGGCCTGGAATGCCTTACAGAGATCATGCTGGCCTTGATCTCACAGAGATTTGCCTGCCTCTGTTCCCCAAGTGCTGGGACTTTAAAGGCCCAGGCCACCACATCTGGCTTCCAAATCTTACTGAGATAGGTCTTCTCATTGAACCAGCAGCTCGCTAGGCTTGGCTGAGCAGCAAGCTCCCCAGGATGTTCTGCACAGCCAGTACACGCAGCCACGCCGAGCTTTTACGTGCGTGCAGAAGATTCGAACTCAGGGCCTCAACTTGCACAGCAAGCACTTTTACCCACAGCCATCTCCCCAGCCTGTGTGGTTCTTTTTCACCTAGGCAACTATAAGACAATAAATAGCTTTATGGAAATGGTTAAGCCGAGGGAAGGTACAAGATGAGGACGGGGAATATTTAGGTATTAAGACCTGCCCTCACTCCAAGTTAGGATGCTTAGCAAAAAACAAAAGCACGCAAGATGTGAACTCTCTAAAAGGCGGATCCCTGTGGGTCCAGGGGGTATAGCTCAGTCTTGCACTCCAAGGAGGCTAGCAACTCTCTCGGGCTTAGTCTGAAAACCTCCAGAAGATTCCACACGCGGCGGCATCGCGCCCAGAGCCCGCCAAGCTCACGTGCCAGTTCCCGCGCTCCGAGGGGGCGGCGGTCCGGCTGGCCCTGCAGGAACAACTGTGCAGAACCGCTGTGCGCGGGCCGGGAGGCCTGCCGGGGACGAGGTCCAGGGACCGGGGTGCGGAGCCCGGACGCCCGAGTCCACGGGCCGCAGCACGCTCGGGGACCCGGAGTGCCTCCCTGGAGGCGTGAAGGGCGGGGCGGGGCCAGCCGCCTCTCGCCTCCAGCGGAAGGGCTCACCCGATGGCACGTAGTCCTCGTCCTCCTCCGACGTAGAGAAGTCTTCGGAGTCGAATTCCTCCATGCCGCTGCCGCTCGGGGCCTGCAACCCGCACGACCGCAGCAGCTGCCCCGACACCTCCGAGTTCTACAGACCATAGAGCTGCAGCCGCAACGGCTAGGGTGGCCCTGGCGCCGTGCGCACACGCGCAGGCGGCGCCACGTGGTCAAAACACGACACTTCCGGCCGATGCGCCTGGGCGTTCTCCACTCCTCTGGCCCTTGAGGGATTCCGGACCCTCCCGGAAGCGATGCATGCTGGAATTTGTAGTCTTCAGTGCCACCTTACCTCCATGATTGGGAATTACATCTATTTATAGAAACACAGTTATCTCTCGTGATTCGTGTTTTTGTATTTTAAGATTCGCTTACTCGCTAATTTTTTTTGTTACTCCCAAATTAATAATTAGACTGCGCTCTAGGGTTATTCCCAGGCATGCGCAGAGAGTGAAAATTGAGAGTCGTCTGTGTTTCGTTACCAACAACGTCTGAGCAAGACTAAGGCTCTGCCTTATTCAACTCTCCAGCTAGCAACAAAAGTCCTTTTCGCAGTTTTAGTGCTTCTCTCTTGCATTTTTATTTTTATTTTTTGGTCTTTTTGGGACAGGGTCTCCCTGTAGCCCCAGCTAGCCTGGAACTCACTATGTAGACCAGGCTGACTTCGAACTCACAGTGATCCACCTGCCTCTGCCTCCCAAGTGCTGGCACTAGAGGCGTGGGTCAGCCAGGGGAACCAAGAGTGACTTTAAGTGCTGACCTCTAATGAACTCCCATTCCACAAGTGCTTAAAAGTAAAAACGTGAACCATATGCCAGTCCATTGGAGATGGGACAAAAAAGCATGGACATGTCTGATTGCCTTCACAACTGTTTCGTCCCAGAAGTTAAAACGCTATCTCCAGGAAACCTTGCCTCTAAGGTTTTATCATTTTGGATGATTCCCCAGTGCATTATTGAAAACTGAAATGTGCACACCCCAACACAGAAGTTCTTTTTATGCCCTCAAGCACTACCTCTCTCACCCAACCCCTCGGTCAAGGGACACTATACAAGGGAGCTTTACACTAAGGCTTGGGAGATTCTTAAAGCCAACAATCATTTCGGACAGTTGTTAGCCACCATGTGGGTACTAGGAACAGAACCTGGGTCCTCTGTAAGAGCAGCCGGGTGCTCTTAACCGCTAAGACATCTCTCCAGCCCTCATTTGTTTTGTTTTTTGAGGCGGGGTCTCATGTAACCCTGGCTGAATTGAAACTCACTATGTAGACGAGGTTAGTCTCAGACTTGTAGAGATCCACATCCTCTGCCTCTTGAGTGCTGGGATTAAAGGTGTGGGCCACCACAATCAGGGAGGACTTATTTGTATTACTCTACATTGCATGTATACCCTTACTGTGTGTTTACTGTGAGAACTGTGCAGTATGTCAGGCTAAACTGTATTATATATGTATGAAAAGGTACAACTTCAATAAGAAAAGTATGTTACATCAAAATGCTGTGAAATTAACTTAGTAAAAACTACATAAATTTATAATACATGATAATAAGGTATTGGACCAAAACCACATAGTACAGTTATGCATTGATCAGGTGACAAGTGTAACCAGAGATACACAGAAACCTAACCCAAGAGCAATAGTTCAGTATTTGCTAATTCAGCATTAGAAACCTCTTCATAAACATAGTTATCCACAATGTTCTAGAATGCAGTTATACACATTAATCTTTCCTTCACTGCCATTATCCACAGAGGAGGCAAATGCAGATGAGACGTTGACGATAGCCATGCTATATGTGTGAAATGTAAGGTATATTTTCCAGCCTGCAGCTGCTCCTCATGATGCTCTGGACTAAACGGGGTCTGGGTCACCTGAATTAGGTGGGTCACCTGAATTAGAATTATATAAATCAGGGAACAGATAAAATATATCTATGATTAAAGGGAAAGTGGCTCTGTACCAGCAAGATTTAAAAGAAAACAGGCTTAAAAAAATAATTCACACATCCTATCACTAAAAGCATACATACAACTGTTTTGTATGTGTGTGTGTGTTTAGGTTTTATATACATATATACGTATATATACATATGCATATATGTGTGTATATATATGTTCATATGTATATATATATAATGTTCAAGCTTGTGAAATCAATTTTAGAACATTTTCACAGCCCCCAAAGAAAGCCCTTTATACAGTGGTGATCATTCTCCATTTCTGTCTAATCAAGCTCTGTAGCTTTGCTTTTCTGGACATTTCATGTAAACAGAATCATACAACATGTGATCTTTTGTGATCAGTTGCTTTTACTCAATGACATTTTCAAGTGTGGAATTGTTCAATCATATAGTAAATGCTTTACATTTTGAGGAACTGCCCGACTGTTTTCTGGAGCGAATTTTACATTTTACACTGTCATCATCAGCATATGAGGATTTGTTTCTCCACATTCTTAGTATCCTACCCTGTCTTTTTGATTTAGAGCACGAAATGGCATCTCATTGTAGTTCTGATTTGTACTTCCTTGAATACTAAAGATATTAAATATGAGGGTCCTGGGGCTGGAAAGATGGCTCAGCAGTTAAGAACACTGGCTCTTCTTGCAGAAGACCCGGGTTCGAATCCCAACACCACATGGCAGCTAACAACCTTAACTCCAGTTCCAGGGGATCCGACAGCCTCTTCTGTCCTCCTCAGGCACTGCACGACACGGGTGCACTTACCTACATGCAGGCAATACACGCATATGCATAAAATAAAAAATAAATACTAAAAAATATGATAGTCCTTATTGGTCATTGTATATGTTCTTTGAAAAATTGACTTTTGCTGGTCCTGGTGGCCCACGCCTTTAATCCTAGGACTCGGGAGGCTGAGGCAGGGGGATCTCTCTGAGTTCTAGGTCAGCCTGATCTACATGGTGAGTTTCAGGACAGGGCTACACAGTAAACACCTCTCTCTCAAAAAAAAAAAAATCTTTTCAGAACTTTGTCCATTTAAGAACTGTCTTGTGTCTTGTTTCTGTCCCTAGAGCCGTTCCTCCTGCCCTGTGAGTCACCTTTGTTCTTGCTTGATAAGGTCCTTCCACATGAATTTTTAATTCTGATGAAGTCTAGTTTATCTATTATTGTCTCATCTTCTTGTGCTTATGGTGTTGTAGCTAAGAAAACTTTGCCTGAGACCATGACTCTTACTTCAGTTTCCTTCTGAGTCAAAGGAATGTAGTTATTACATTTAACCTATGACTCATTGAAACAGACTTTATTTTGTGGAAGGGGTGTCTCTCTCTCTCTCTCTCTCTCTGTCTCTCTCTCTCTGTCTCTCTCTCTGTCTCTCTCTCTCTCTCTGTCTCTCTCTCTCTCTCTGCATGTGCATGTGTGTGTGCCACTAACAACCTGCAAGGGGGTGAGTTCTGTCCTTCCACCATGTGGGTCCAGGGGATCAAACTCAGGTTGTCAGACTTGGCAGCAAGTTTCCTTACCCACTGAGCCATCTCGCTGACCCTAACACAGACTTTTCTTATGGGAAAATAAGAGAAAACTAGCAAAATTTGACCTAGTATTTGTAATTTCACCCTTCTTTGCCTCACTTTCCTTGGATATTGTAAACACTCTTCAGTGACCCCACCAGGGGGATTCTGCAAGATGCATCATTCTGCACCACCACCCCATTCTCCTAGCACTGCATGAGGTTGTTGAGATTCCCAGCCAAAATTCTCAACCAGGATGAGAACTATTGTATAGTGTCAAATGGTTACGAGTCTTTTTCCTTTTGATATAGGGTCCTCTGTAGCCCACACTGGCTTAAATTCATCCTCAAACTTGAGTTTCCAGAGCACTCAGGAGATTCCAGGCTTGAGTCACCATGCCTATTTTCTTTCTTTGGAGGAGAGATGCATGTGTATGTATGTGGTGTGTCAGTGCTCACATGTGTAAGTGAATGAGTGGGTGTACATGCACGTGGAGGCTGTAAGTTGACATTGGGTTTGAATGAATGTTCCCCATAGGTTCCAAGTATTTGAGCACTTTATCCCCAGTTCGTGTTGCTGTTTTGGGAGGATCAGGAGATATGGCCATGCTGGGGAAGCATGTCACTGGGGGTGGGCTTTGAGAGTCTAGTTTGCTCACTTCCAATCTTTCTGTGTTTCCTGTGCCTACCTGAAGATGTGAGTACTCAGCTGTTTTCTGCTCTGCCTCCTGCCATAATGGAATCTTATCCTTTTGGAATCATAAATCAGATGAACTCTTCCTTCTCTAAATTGCCTCGATCACGGTGCTTTATCACAGCAACAGAAAAGCAACTAATAGAGAAGTCCAGTGTCTCCCCTATCATTCTCAATCTTACTTTGGACAGGGTCTTTCTCATTTGAACCCACAGCTCGCCAGCTAGTCCAGCTAGCCACCTTGCCCCAGGAATCCCATCTGCACCTTCTGAACACTAGGATTGCTGGGAGGCTGCCACACCTACCCAGCATTTATCTGAACTCAAGGCCTCACACTTGCACAGTGAGCACTTTACCAGCCGAACCAGTTAGCAGGCCAGTGCAGCTCAAAAACATGTACTGATTTACCTAGAAGTGTTATGTGTGAATTTAAACTAGTTATAGGCTGGAAATGTAGCTCAAGGGTAGTGTGAATCCAAGGCCTTGGGTTTGAGCTCCAGTACCAAAAAGAAAAATAAAGGAAGAAAAGCTGTCATCACTTTAAAATGGAGGGATTTCCAATAATCTAGATTTTCAGCTTCTCTTAAAAACAATCTTAAATGTGGCAACACTGGGTCATCATTCAACAGAACAGACATAGGCTGAAGCCAGGGAACAATGGGCCCTCTGGTCAGAGCAATGTAGTCAGACCCAGTACCAACCGCCCAACTCCTAAAGCTGGTGGTTCACTGTTGTCTTGGCCATAATTTAGGGCATCGTCCCTGCCAAATTCAGCACCTTTAGTTCCTCATCTTCAGGTCTCACCTCCAATCTTGGCTTGTCACTTTTCTGGAAACTCAAATTTCCTCCTGTTGTGTCCTGGGTCCATACAATCCTGGGGATTTCCAGCTGAACTTTGAACATACACACCTTCCAGGATGAGAGTAATGTATCTCTTGATCTGAGAGGTGGCCATATAACTATACACACAAAAAAACTAGCCAGGTGTGGTGGCGTATGCCTTTAATCCCAGCACTTGGGAGGCAGAGGCAGGCAGATCTTTGTGAGTTCAAGGCCAGCCTGGTCTACATAGTGAGTTCCAGGACAGCTGGGGCTACAGGGAGACCCTGTCTCAAAAAGACAAATATATATATATATATCAAGCTATACATTCAAGATCTGTGAACTTATGTGCTAAAAAAGTCATGAAAGAGAATGGATTGGAAACTACTGGGTGATCCAACTTGTTGAAAATGGGAGAACAGAGGCATATTATATCACTTAAGACATTAAACTACTGAAAACTGGAGTTTATTTTCAAGTAGACTTACTACGGAGGTAATTCTTTACACGATATATTCAGCCATCCCAGTATAGAATCATACAAAGTTTCTTTCTTTACATGTGTGTGGTATGCATGCATCTGTGCATGTGTCCTCATGTATGAGGGTATGTGCATGTAGATGTTGACATCTTCCTCACGCTCTAATTTACTGAGGCAAGGCATTGAACCCCTGGGGATTCTGTCTCTGCCTCCAGAGCACTAGCACTGCAGGTGGCTGCTGAGCAGCTGGGGATCTGAACTCTGTTCCTCATGCTTGTGCAGCAAGCACTTGATCCACTGAGCCATCTAAACAAAACCTTATTTTAATTTTAAAATTTTATTTATTTTGGGGGGCTGGAGAGATGGCTCAGCAATTAAGAGCACTGACTGCTCTTGCAGAGCACCTGGGTTCGATTCCCAGCACCCACATGGCCACTACAAGCCATCCTTAACTCCAGTTCCAGGGGATTCCAAAGCCCTCTTCTGACCTCCGAGGCATTGCATGACACGGGTGCACTCACATACATGCAGGCAATAAATTTATTTTTATTTAACATGTATCTGAGTGTTTGGCTTGCTTATATATAAATGAACCTGTGTGGTGTAATGCCTGCATAGGCTAGAAAAGGTCATCAGATCCCCTGGAACAAGAGTTTCAGAAGGTTGTTAACTTCCATATGCGAACAGGGAACCAACCACACCTGGTCCTCTACAAGAGCCATCAGTGCTCTAAAGCCCCAAGCCCTCTTTCGAGCCCCCAAAATTTCTTGATGTCAATACATAGCCTGTTCAGTAGAGTTAATGAGTGAAATTCACTTTAAGTACACTTTAATCACATCTTTAAATAAGAACGCTTATTAAGTTAATAAAAAACTGAAACTGGTTAGACAACTTTATGACAAAAGATTACAAGAGAAATGAAATTCCAGGATGGCTCAGTGGGTAAAGACACCTGTCAAGCCTGACAACCTGAGTTCAATCAATCCCCAGAACCTACATGGTAGAAAGAGAGAACTGATTCCCACAAGCTAGACCTTCACTCGCACCATGACACGTGTGACACACAAAATAAATACAATTTTCTTTTTGAAAAGAGCCGAGCATAATGGTTCATGCCTTTAATCTCAGCACTTGGGGGTAGAGGTCTGAATTTGAGGTCAGCTTGTTCAACATATGGAGTTCCAAGTTAAGCAGGCCTGCATGGTGAGTCAGTCTCTCTCTCTCTCTCTCTCTCTCTCTCTCTCTCTCTCTCTCTCTCTCTCAATAATAATAATAAAATTAAAGAAAGAAATGCAATTCCAGAGGTGGGTGTGGTCATATACACCTGTAATCCCAGCGTATGGGAGGCAGAGGCAGAAGGAATGCCACAAATTCAAGGCCAGACTGAATGTCATGGAGAATTCCAGGGTAGCCAAGGATATGTAACTATATACTATCACAAATAATATCTCAAAATAACAAATATTTCAATCCCAACTCACAGAATTTAAAGTAATTCTTTATTGATAAACATTTAACACTAGTATTAGAAATGTCAGTAGAAAAATAAAAATTAAATAATTTTCTTTTGTACAAAGATCTGATCATTTTGACAATAGCAGTTAGTGAAGTAATCTAATATAAAACGTTTAGCTGGCTTTGGTCACAACCAGCCTTACCTAGTACACAAAAAGGAAATACATGTTAAAAGACCTTCCATATTGGACCACTAATGGGACCAGGGCTTCACATTCAGGAAACAGTTCCTTAGGGAAGGTTGGCGTGTCCTGGGGTGTCACAAGAACTTAATACAAACCAGAGCAGTTAGAAAGAAAGTCTGAATCAAGAAACAACATACAATTTAAAAACCTAAAGGACACAAGGAATGACTTCATTATTTGCATGAGTTGTTTAAACATTAAGGGGCATCTTGTTGCAAAAAGGGTAAAGGACATAGACACATCTTTCTCAGGTAATAATCATTACATTTCATTTTAATTTTCACCCTGAAATCCTAGTAAAGAATCAAGAGGTCACTTTTATGGTTGGGGGCTGATTTCCTCTTCCAGAATTTAAAAAAAAAAGGAGGGGGAGGTGGAAAGTTTTGGGATTCGGGGTTGTCTGTCTCTTAAGAAAGGTGGCTGTGGCAACAATTCTCAAAGAAACTATGTAAGGTAAAATGTCCAACACAAACCATTCACAACACATCTGTATTCGAGGTGAGAGACAGGAGACTGAAGGAACAAAGCAGAGTATTCCTTATCATTCAAATGTTTTCTCCCTGAAAATATTTCCAGCCACACAGCTCTGACTATGGAGTCCACATACACTTATTCACAGAAGATGGCTTCACATACTGGGATGGATGAAACATTCCATCATTTGAAGATACATTTTGTAGTTGAGGGTTTTTTTTGTTTTTTGTTTTTTTTCTTTTTTTTTTTGTCTTTTTGAAGCAGGGTCTCCCTGTAGCTGTTCTGGAACTCACTATGTAGACCAGGCAGGCTGGCCTTGAACTCACAGAGATCCACCTGACTCTGCCTCCCCAGTGCTGGGATTAAAGGCCTGCACCACCACATCCAGCTGAGGTCTTTTTTTGAAAGAGCAGATAAAACATAAAAAAGAAACAGATGGGAACAAAAACCCCCTTCAAAGGCCTACTTTGTGTCTCAGTTCTGAAATAACCTGACATTGCAGTCACAGAGGAGTATGCTCAAAAGTTCCTATTTACTAGGAAATTCGAAAAGCCCACCAACGACTCACCTATGTGCATAGTGACAATATACGGAAAAGAATGTTTCAGTGAAACGTCTTGTAAGAGGAGCTTTCAAAACACATGGCCCAGATCATATGCCAGAGTGCAGGATACAAGGCTCCAAATTTCTCAAACTGTAGGGATATTTTCCAAATTAATAGCACATTAGACAGAAAACTGAAGTCTTTAAAATATTGTTCAGAGAAAGATTTGAGCTTCTTGCTGGGGAATTTGAAGAGACGTTAACCTACACTTTGTCTTCCAAATCTGGTATGTCACTATAACTTTGACAAGTGGTCTAATTAGTCAAAGGAACAGACCAGTTATTTTTTTGTAATCCTTCTGTAATTCTTTTCTATGACATTCCTGGGCAAATTGGTTCTTTGCGCTATTTAAAAATTTTTTATTACATTTGTGTGTGTGTGTGTGTGTGTGTGTGTGTGTGTGTGTGTGTCTGCTTACAAGTACAGGTCAGAGGACAACTTGCAGGAGTTGGTTCTCTCCTTCCACAATGTGGGTCCTGGGTATTGAACTCAGGTTGTCTGTCTTGGTGGCAAGTGTCTTTATCTGCTACTCCATATTGACAACCCCTCTTGGCTATTTTTAACCAGAAGCCATAGAGCATATTGTATTAGATGAATTTATGTCTTCATAGCTTGTCAGCCTGAATCTCACAATGAAAACTCTCCTTTAAAAATTTCAGAGTTAATGGGCTGGGTGAGGTGGCACGCTCCTTTAATCCCAGCACTGGTGGCAGAGGTAATTTGATCTCTGTGAGATTGAGGATAGCCTGGTCTACATAGCAAGTTCCAGACCAGCTAGGGCTAGAGGAAGACTGTTTTAAAAACAAAACAATGTCAGAGTTAATTACCAGAAGCTACTCTGAAAAAAAGGTAATAACAGGTAACAAGCAAGAACATTGGATTTGAAATAAAACCTTTTAATTGACTAAAAGGTACTTAACTTTTTCAATCCTTTCCCTTTTAAAGGTCATAGTTTTCAGACCTTTTAATGAAAAAAGAAAGTTAGGCAGTGGAATAAAATTTAAAATAGCTAAAATTAAGTTTAAAAATTGATATCTCTCTTTAAGAATATAAATTCTCTTGACTAAAAGTAAAAAGGGTGGCGTGGGGGTAGATCTGAAAAGGAAGTTTTAGGCACTTTATGAGCATTGATACTCAAAGCCTGCAAAGGTAGGCTGAGGAGCCACCACTAGGTAAATACAAGGATCAAGAACCACTAACCCTAGTTACAGCTGCATGCTACAATTTTCTGAGTTATTAATAAGCCAAAGTCACTAAGAAAGAATAAAACAGAATCTTTGGAGTATCTTCATTTGTGCCTGAATGTCCGAAGAGTATCCTAAGTCATCTGGCCTCAACTTTCATCCCAAGCTACTTAATAATGTGTGTTTCCAATGAAAGTAAATATCAATAATAGAATTAAAAATGAGAGGAAAAGGTGCCATAGAAATTCTTTGGAAAAAGGGCCTCAACTAGGCATAACAGTCCCAGCCACTCAGGGTGAATGGCAGGAGGCTCGCTTGGACCCAGAAGTTTAAGGCTGGCCTGGGCAACAGAGCAAGGGCCCATGTCTTTAAAAAAAAAAAAAGGCCATTAATTAGCTAGCTTATTTTGATCAACTATACGAAACAATAAATTCACATTTCTTAAAATATATTAAATAGTCAGAGGTCAAGACAGTTATCCATAAAAACGTCACGTTCTCAGAAGTTACTACTCCTAACGCTGGAGCAGAGCTGCTACTTTACAGCTTTACTTTGACTCCTTTTCCTGCTCTAGCTCAGCTGTTTGTTCTCAGAGCTATACTCAACCAAAACCATCGTGGCTTCACTGTTAGGAAGACTTAGTGAGGAAGTGTCTGCTAACTTCCAGTTGGGAAGCAATTAAGATTTGAGCACAGCAGTCTGCTCTCTTCAAGGCAGCCAGCATTTTCTCTTGTTCTCTTGTTTCTCTGAAATGGCAACACTGCATCGTCTCAAAGAACAATGCAAATTCTAGTGTGAGGAATGCTAACCTAGAGGCATGTGGTCTTGGCTTGGGTGAAGATGTGTGTGCAAATGTCTCAAATAACCACAAAAAAGAAAGCTAGGAGTTTTGGTTGAGTGATGGGTCCGCAGAGGTCTTCAACTGCTGGCACTTCAAGTGGAAGAAAGGGCTGTGACATTCTTCAGGCTCCTGTTCATCCACACTGCTTCCATCTGAGGAATTAAGAAACCTGTGCACTCCTTTGGAGAAGTCTATAAACAGGCGTGACATCACAACATAAAGGTGTATGCTATAGAGTAGCTAAAGCCCGTAAGAAGGAGATCACCACGACACAGAATGTCTGTCCAGTGCCCAAGGTGAGGGCTTCAAAAGGCATCATCTCCTTTCCTGCAGCTCGGTAGACTCCGGCAAGTGCCGCACCTGGTTCAGAAGTCAAGGGTGTGCAGGAAAAAAAAAAAACAAAACCAACCTGGGGTTAACAAGATCAGGACAATAGAACACTTAAAATTCCACCACCAGTACAATGTTCTAGACTATTTACACCAAAATTTAATTATTAAAGTTTAATTTTTAATTATTAATTTTAACTTAATTATTAAAGGGTGTTAACAGAAAAAAAACAAAAACAAACAAACAAAAACCTGGGGTTAACAAGATCAGGACAACAGAACACTTAAAATTCCACCACCGGTAGAATGTTCTAGACTATTTACACCAAAATTTAATTATTAAAGTTTTGTTTTCTCTGCCTTTCTCTTGACTATATTAGCCTTCTCTATGTGGTTTGCCTATTAGTGAAACGTACTTTTAGATTAAAAAAGAAATATATATTTATGGGCTGGAGAGATGGCTCAGCGGTTAAGAACACTGGTTGTTCTTGCAGAAGACCTAGGTTTGAATCCCAGCACCCACATGGCAGCTAACAACTGTCCATAACTCTAGTCCCAGGGAATCCGACAGCCTCTTCTGACCTCTGTGGGCACTGTACATCACGGGTGCACTTACCTACATGCAGGCAATACACACATACACATAAAATAAAAATAATAAAAGTTTAAAAAAAAGTTTATTATTTTTTCATGTGTGTGTTTTGCCTGCATGTACCTAAGTGCACCGGTGTCGCGCAATGGAAGGCCAGAAGAGGGTGGATGGTTGTGAGCTGCCATGTGGGTGTGGAAACTGAACTTGGTCCTCTGCAAGGTCAGCCAGTTTCTTAACCACTGAGCCATCTCTCCAGTCTCAACTTTTAGATTTGTACTCCCTAAAATTGAGCATCTTGCATTTTACTGAATACTCTGAAATGATAATCAAGATACAAAGCTAGCAATTCCCACAGGATCTGACTAGGAGCTCAAAGATCTCTTTATTCCCAAGCCAATTAACCCTATGCCTATCACTGAAGAAGCACCTAATAAATTGGCCATGAATGACCATCTCTTGAGACTGGTAAGACATGTTCTGGGGCCACAGGGAGTCCCTACTCCACTTTCTACTGCTGAGGGTCCCCTTCAAAGAGCAAGAGGAGGGGGTGTGCAATGCAGGGCTCTGAGCAGTGGTCACTCAAAGGGCATGAGGGCAGAGATCTTAGGGGCCCCTAACTGCTCCCCTCATGCCCACCACCACAGCACTCCAGAAGTGAGACAACACAACAACAGATGGACCCAGATATCCATCTGAGATGCTACAGGGACTCACAAAAGGTACTGAACCAAGTGTCTACATGTGGGCTGGGGTATAGCTCAGTGGTAGAGCACGTGCTTAGTGTACACAAGGCCATGGGTTCTATTCTCAGCACCCTGAAAAGAAGTCTACACATTTTTAAACTGCCATATGAAGAACATTACTGATTTGTTTTGTTTTGAGATGGGGGGGCTCTCACTATGTAGCCCAGGCTGGCCTGGAACTCACATAGATCTGCCTGGTAGCATCTTAGTACTGGGATTAAGGCATGTACTACTACAAGTGGCATTATGAATGCATTTTAATAAGAGAACAGTATTGTGCTGGATAGCTTAATATCAACTTGACACACCTGGGTTGAGGGAACCTCAATTGGGGAATTGCCTCTATTGGACTGGCCTGTGGCCATGTCTGTGGGGCATCTTCTTGATGAGTGATGTGGGACAGCCCAGCCCACTGTGGGTGGTGCCACCCCTGGGCAGGTAGGCCTGTGTTGCATAAGAAAGCAGGCTGAGCAGGGGCCAGGGAAGCAAGCCAGTAAGCAGCATTCCTCCATGACCTGTGCTCCAGCTCCTGCCTCCAGGTTCCTGAACTGAGTTCTTACCTTGGGCTCCCAGATGAACTGTGACCCAGGAGATGTAAGATAAAATAAACCCTTTCCTCCCCAAGTTGGTACTGGACAGAGTATTTTGTCACAGCAATAGAGAAACAAACTAGGACAAGTATTAATCCAAGATTGGTAGCCTTAAATATTTCTGACTTTACCTGCAGTGGCAGTCAATGTCACTGTCTCAAAACACGTTTCTTAGGACCTCTAATTGAGCTCTTCTCAAAGAGTAGATTGGACAGAAAGAAGCTTAAAGAACCTGATCTGGGGGGAGAATGGGGGAGGAAAGGGAAAAAAATCCCACTAAGAAAGCAGTGAATGAGAAGGGAATAAACTCCATCTTAAAGCCTTAGAAACAGAAATGAGCACAGTATTTATGCACAAGTACTATGTGTCAACTACTGTGTTAAGAACTTGTATGTAGACCATCTCATTTAATTGTCACACAAGGATGGGGGTGGGTGGTATCATCCCTGTTTCACTGATTGAAAAAAAAAGAGACCAGTCCCAGGCACCAGAAATCCAGTGTGGACACTGGAGCACAGGTTTCTCTACAGTATTATATGAGATAGTTGGAACACAGAGAAAGTAGGCTCTATTGTCTTTAAAAAAAAAAAAAAAAAGGCCCAAAAAACATGAATGAATCAATGAGCTTGATGGACATTTCTGCTTGAAGTCCAGGTTTAAATTTACAGTGAAAGGAGGCTGGAGAGACAGCTCAGTGGTTAAGAGCACTGGCTGCTCTTGCAGAGGACCCGGGTCCAGTTCCCAGCACCCACATGGTGGCTAACAACCGTCGAGAACTCCAGTTCCGGGGGATCCATCACCATCTTCTGACCTCCATGGGCATTGCATGACACAGGTGCACTTACCTACATGCAAGCAATATACCCATACACACAAAATAAAAATTAATAAATACTTTTTAAATAAAATTTATAGTGAAAATAAAACAAAATATGACAAACTAGGAATATTACATTCCTGTACGTTTACAAACATGTTTACCCATGTACCAACAACAGCATACACACCAAAACACAAACTATGACTATTAATAAACAGTATACTTTTTATTTTCATGTTGCTTACTTTAAATATTTGTTTATAGGAAATACATGTTTACAGCTAAGTACAAACTGAAAAAAAATGGTTTAAACTTAAGCCAGGCATGGTGTGGTGTATTGCCTTTAATCCCAGCACTCAGAAGGCAGAGGCAGGTAGTCTCTGCGAGATAGACCAGCCTGGTCTAGTGAGTTTTAGGCCAGCTGGGACTACAGGGAGACCTGGTCTCAAAACACAAAAAGATTTAAACTTATCATTCTTATCCCTCCAACTGTGTTCTGTGAGATGAAACACAAGGGACTGGAGAGATGGCTCAGCAGTTAAGAGCACTGGCTGCTCTTCCAGAGGACTCTAGTTCTGTTCCCAGCACCCTCCCTGAGTGGCTCACAACTACCTGTAACCCCAGTTCCAGGAGATCAGATGGCCTCTTTTGGCCTCCATAGGCACCTCATTCCACATGGTGCACACAAAAGCACACACGCGCACACGGACACGTTTTTTTTAATTTTAAAAATAATTTCTAAGATCTGTGCTACTCCAGTCTCTATTCAGAAAGCTGGGAGGTATGTGTGGGGGATCCAAAAACACAAATCAGGTACTTTTGTGTGTGGTGCTGGGGATCAAACCAATAGCTTTGGACACACCAGGGAAATGCTCTGCCACTAAGCTTTGTATTGCCAGCCCTCAAATCAGTTATTTTTCTAAACAAGACTTCTGAGCCAGGCGCGGTAGCACATGCCTATAGTCCCAAGCACTTGGGAGGCAGAAGCAGGCAGACTCCTGGAGTTCAAGGCCAGCCTGGCTGGTCTACAGAGTGAGTTTCAGAAGCCAGCTGGGGCTACAGGGAGACTCTGTTTCAAAAAGACCAAAAAAAAAAACCAACCAAAAAACACCAAGTTCTAATCATTAGACTTATACTGTCCCTGGGGAACCCTGAATGACTGGGGTAACTACGCAGTCACCTGCAGGTGATCTGGCAAGTGAGTGACAGCAATCAGAAAGGAGCAATGGCTTTCAGAGACAAGTATTTTTATTTTGCTAGTGGCCTGTCTCACAAAGCTTAAAATCTGACTTAAGAAGCCAGAGATTATCCAATTAAAAGGGGTTTAAGAGTTTAAAAAAAAAAAAAAACTAATATATTGGGGGCTGGAGAAATGGCTCAGTGGTTAAGAGCTGCTCTTGGCAAAGGACCCAGGTTCAGTTCCCAGCTCCACACAGTGACTAGCAACTGTCTTTAACTCTAGTTTACCTCTGGTCTCCACAGGCACCAGCACTCACATGCACATATCCACACACACACATGATTAAAAATAAATATTAAAAAAATACATTAAAAAATGATACGCATTTGAAAGGCACTCTTTAATCCATACAGGTATGTATTTCTTTCTTTTTTCCTGTGCTAGAGACCAAACCCAGGGCCTCAGGCTTGCTAGGCAAGCACTCTACCACTGGGTTAAGTCCCCAGCCATGCCCTCCACCCCACCAGATAGTATTTCTAAAATGAGTCTTAAGATTAGCTGACTAGTTACATTGAAAGTTTTTGACTGGTATTTTAATGTCTAACATACTTGTCAAGATTCCAGCAGTAATTGGTCCCACGATGCCCATCAACAGGATGCTTACAGACATGAACCTACCATATTTGTGGTGTCTGAGGGTGAAGAGGGCCAGTAATCCAGCAGGGACATGAAAGAAGACAGAAGACACCAGTGCCCACAGGAACACACCATACCACATCTCTGTGGGGAGGAAAGACTGGATCATTAACTAGAATCAAACCCACTGCTTCTGTTTTCACAACTATTTCATTGCACTCTGTGAAATATCCAAATACTGATGGGTTTTGTTGCTGGTTTGTTGTTTTACTTTTTTTTAAAAAACAGGACATGTGTGGAGGTCAGAGGACAACTTGTGGAAGTCAGTTCTCTCCTTCTACCTTGTGGGTCCTGGAGACTACACTTAAGTGGTCAGGCTAGCAGCAGGTGCCTGTGTCTGCTGACACATTTCACCTGCCCTGTTTTGGCTTTTTTGAGACAAGGTCTCATCATGTAGCCCACACTAGCCTCAGACTCACTTTATAGCCAAGGCTGGCCTTGAATTCCTAATCTTCCTGCCTCAGACTCCCAATTGTTGGACTATATGCATTTTCTACAATGCCAGGCTCTACTGACAAGTCTGAAAGGGTTCACAGGTATGGTGGCTCACACTTTTTATCCTAGCAGTTGGGGAGACAGAGGTAGGAAGGTCTGTGAATTCAATTACATACTGAGTTCCAGGCCAGCCAAAGCTACACAGTAAGGGCCGGTCTTAAAAAATAAAAAAATAAAAAAGCAGACACTGTCCTATTATATTCATTTAACAATCATTTTAGAACCAGCAAGATGGCTCAGCTGGTAAAGGTACTTGCCACTGAGCCCGAGGAATCCACATGCTGGAAGGACAGAGTCAACTCCTGAAAATTGTCCTCTGACTTTCCCGTGTGTGAATAAGAATCCACTCACAAACAGGGACTCACACAGATAAATGTAAAAAACAAACAAACGGGCTGGAGAGATGGCTCAGCAGTTAAGAACACTGACTGTTCTTGCAGAAGACCCAGGTTTGAATCCCAGCACCCACATGGCAGCTAACAACTGTCTGTAACTCCAGTCTCAGGGGATTCCACAGCCTCTTCTGTCTTCTGCAGGCATTGTACTACACAGGTGCACTTACCTACATGCAGGCAATACACACATACACATGAAATTTAAAAAATAATAAATATTTTTTAAAAATTATTAAAAATAAAAAACCAACCAAGCAAAAAAACAACAAAAAACCCCCCACTCTGTTATAAAAAAAAAAAAAAAAAATTAGGGGCTGGAGAGATGGCTCAACGGTTAAGAGCATTATATGCTCTTGTAGAGAACCCAGGTTCAATTCCCAGCACCCACATGGTGGCTAACAACTGTCCATAACTCCAGTTCTAGGAGATCCAATGCCCTCTTCTGACCTCTGTGGGCACTGTATGACACAGGTACACTTACACTCATGTAGGCAATACACTCATACACATAAAATAAAAATATTTTTTGTCTGGGCATGGTGGTGCATATCTTTAATCCCAGTACTTGGGAGGCAGAGGCAGGTGGATCTCTGTGAGTTCGAGTCCAGCCTCGTCTACATAGTGAGTTCCAGGCCAGCTGGGGCTACAGGGAGGCCCTGTCTCAAAAAGACCAAAAATAAATGAATGAATGAATAAATAAATATTTTTCAAAGAAATGATTAGGTTGTGCTGGGTATGGTGCTACATGCCTTTAGTCCTAGCAGAGGCGGGCAGATCTCTACGAATTCAAAGGAGGCCAGTCTGGTCTACAAAGGGAGCTCTAGGCCAGCCAGGGCTGCACAGTCAGACCCTGTCTCAAAAAAACAAGGACAACAAAAAAGCTTGCTCTAGTGGGTCAGGCCTGTAATGGCAGCACTTGGGAGGTAGAAACAGGAAGCTCACAAGTTCAAGACCAGTCTGAGATATATATTTCATATATATTTATATATTTTATATGTGTGGGGTGGGCTGGTTCCTACAGAGAACCTCCAGTCTTTTTTTTTTTTTTTTTTTTCCTTTTGGGACCGGGGCCCTGTAGCCCTGTAGAACCTCCAGTCTTTTTTTTTTTTTTTCTGTCCTTTTGAGACAGGGTCTCCCTGTAGCCCAGCTGGCCTTGAGCTTAAAGAGATCCATCTGCCTCTGCCTCCCAAGTGCCAGGAAAAGGCATGCCCCACCATACTCAGCCAAGAGAACCTCTACTCTTAAGGTGACTAAAATTCTGGGCAAGAGCACTCCTTCCCAGGTGTAACATCAACTCTATCTCCAGACATTGCCAAATGTTCCCAGAGTTAAAACTGCACAGAGGCAAAACTGTCTTGATAGATGATAGACAGACAGATGAAAGATTAGGAAATATAACCCTCTGCCTTGAAGACAAAAGGCAGGTATGTGAGAAGGCAGCTAGACAAACTGGTTCTTTCAGGTTCTTTCAGGAGTGGTGACACCTGAAATCCCAGCACTTGGGAGGTAGAGGTGGGGGGGGGGTCAGATGTTTAAGGTCATCTTCTGCTTCCTATCAATTTGGAGGTCAGCCTGGACTACATGAGATCAGCTGGTTCTGGTTCCTATGACGAATCAATCTCCCCCCTACCCCCTTCTTGAGACAGGGTCTCCCTGTAGGCCCCACCTAGCCTGGAACTCAATATATAGACCAAGCTGGCATTGATCTTACAGAGCTCTGCCTGCCTATGCCTCCCCAGTGCTGGGATTAAAGGCGTGTGTCACTACCCCGGCTGGAGATCCTCTGATATTAAGATAACTAAAATTCAGTTATTAATCTTTTCTTTTCCAGTGCTGGAGAGTGATCCTAGATCCTCATCCATATTTACCACATCCTAGCCAAGAGCACTCCATCCCCAGGTGTGACATCAAAAATAGCTCCAGACAAATGTCCCCAGAGGCAAAACTGCCCTGATTAAACACCACTGGCTTGGCTGACAAGAGCAGCTGCAGTTAAAGTTGCAAAGGTGGATAGGGTCACAGCGTGGAGAAGTGCGAAGGTTTGAACAGTATCACCATAGGCTCATACACTGAAGGCTTTGCCCCCAGCTGTTCTAGTCTAAGGGGTGGTAGAAACATTAGAAGGTTGCAACCTAGTTGAGGAAGTAGGTCTCTAGGGTTGGGTCCTTAGGGTTCTCTTGCCTTGACTCCTTCCTAGTTCTGTTCCCTGGCTGCCATATGGTGAGCAGCTCTACTCCATCACATTCTGCCCCACAAGAGGCCTAGAAACAAAGCAACCAGCCCACTACAGACTGTAATCTCTGAAACCACTAGCCAAAAATATCCTTCCTTCCTTCCCTTGTTTATGCCAAGTATTTGTCAGTGGCCAAAGTCTGACAGAGGACTTTAAATGTCAAAGGAAGGGCTTCAGCATTCTACTAAAGGGAGCGTCATCGATGGTTTTGCACAGTAGAGTGTTGTCAGGACATTATCTGAAGGCCTCCATCAATATTCCCAGTCAGAAGGACAAGAACACCACCTTTCTGGAGGGTCACATGGAAGACAAGCATGCCTATCCTTTGCAGCTGTGAGTTTAGATCCATGAATACACCCACACCTACAGGAACATACTTGTAGGCAAGGACAGTGCTAACAGGAGGCTCCAGGAAGGTCTGTAATGGTGAAAAATGGAAGTCGACTGCATGGCCATCTCTTGTAGGCTTGGAAAACACATTCTGTGCATCCATGTAATACAACATTCCATAGCACACAACTATGAGCTAGATCTAGAGATACCAGGGGAATACAGTGACAAACTGCAAAAGAAGCTTGGCTAGCTGCAAACAGTTATGTGAAAGAAGAGCCTGGTTTTGTAAAAGTAAAACGAGCTAAGTAATGTACTTAGAGGAAGCCTGCATGTGCTTACATATTTCATAAACATTTGCTATGCAAACAGGAACTGTCCTGAGTGCTTTACAAACACTAAGGCATCGAACCCTCAAAACAAGTCTGAAGCACTGACTGTTAAGGTTCACAGTCATGGAGAAGTGGACGCAGGGGGAGGCACACACATGCCCACACTGCCTGCTCGCCTGTGCTGCCGCACCTCACGCTCTATGCCATTCTTTGGTATGCAGCAAGTTTAAAAAATTGCCATTTTCTGGAGCTGGAGAGATGGCTCAGCAGTTAAGAACACTGACTGTTCTTGCAGAAGACCCAGGTTCGAATCCCAGCACCCACATGGCAGCTAACAACTGTCTGTAACTCCAGTCCCAAGGGATCCCACAGCCTCTTCTGACCTCCATGGGCATTGCACGACACGGGTGCACTTACCTACATGCAGGCAATACACGCATACACATATTTAAAAAAAAATTGCCATTCCTGCACCTTTAATCACAGCTCTCAGGAGGCAGAGGCGGGTGGATCTCTGTGAGCTTGGGAGGCCAGCCTGGTCTACATAGTGAGTTTTAGACCAACCAGGGTGCATAGTGAGACCCTGTCTCAAAAAACAGTTATTTTTTCAGGGTTTGGGGAAGGGGCCGCAGGCGCCATGTTGGGCCGTGAAGACGGCAAGAAGCCCCTGAAACAGGCCAAGAAGCAGGCCAAGGAGGTGGAGGAGGAGGAGGAGAAGGAGGAGATGGAGGTGGATGAGGAGGGCAAAGAGGTGGAGGAGGAGGGCAAGACTTTCAAGCAGAAATAGAAAGAGAAGAGCCGAACCTGGTGGCACATGCCTTTAATCCCAGCACTCCGGAGACAGAGGCAGGTGGATCTCTGTGAGTTCAAGGCCAGCCTGGGCTACATAGTGAGCTCCAGGACAGCTGGGGCTACAGGGAGACCCTGTCTCAAAAAGACCAAAAAAAAACCAAAAACCAAAACAAAAACAAAAAGAGCAGAAACTCGAGGAGCTGGAAAGCAAAGGCCGCAGGGAAGGTCCCCTGGCCACGGATGGAGTTAAGAAACCTGGCAGAAAGTCAGCTCTTCGTGTTCCTCAGATGACGGTGACCGTCTTGCACTCCTATTTAAACATCTAGATTCCCTGCCGAGACATCTTTTGCCACCTATAGCTAGAGAAATGTGTTGTCCTGGAACCTGTTTACATTGTAATAAACTTTTGTTTAAAAAAAAAAAATTATACAGTGGCTCACTGTCTCTAGTTTCCACTGAGCTTACTCCTACCTCAGCTGTGAATTTTAAGTAAATCCAGCCCAGAAT